CCAGAGGACGGCCAAATGTGGACAAATGGGTCCAGAGAGACAGGGGCTATCGGCCCTATGTTCTCCTAACACCACCTGTTACACCACAGAGTGTTTTACCGAGCTCATAGTGGGCAGTTTTACCTTAATATAACCTTAATATCACCCGAAAAGCTAAACAGACCCTGTGATAGTTGAAAACTTTTGTTACTTTCACCCAATATTTAGACACAACATCCCTTCTTTGTGATAAAGGCTGATTAACTACGTCCCTTTTGGCTAATTCCACTTAGTTTTACATAGGAAATATTAGAAAAACGTCATTTTCGTTTGTTTTCTGTCACTTCAGACGTGTGAATCTACATCAGAAAACAATGACATTGCCAAATTCCATCTTGGTTTCTAGTCCATCAGAATAATTTGTTGATAAGACGTCATTTAATTGGACCTTCCAGATCATATTGGATGTAAAAAATACAGGATCTATTCACAAAGACTGTCATAAAAATAGAGTCCAAACCTTCCTATGGTATCTGATCACAACTCTCTCAGAGTTATTTAAGGTTTTGTTCAAATAGTAGTAATAGTAACTCATTCCACAAAGGCAGTTGGTAACATAAACATTCATCCATAGTGATTAATTATTCCGTTTCTGTTGTGGAAACCTGAAAAACGTCCCTTTATTTCCACCCTGTTGGGTCTGAAAGTGTCCGAGACCCCTTTTGGAGCCGCAGTTTGAGCCTCAATCTGCGGGTTTTTCCACCTGTTTTCCAGTGCGTTCGCGTGCGTGCGTGTGTGCGCGTGCGTGCGCGTGCGTGAGAGCGCGTGTGTCTCTTACCGACGTCCATGGCCGAGCTGCGGCAGAGAAGGAGCACCAGCAGAACCGCGACCCTCTCCGGATCCCGCTCCATCACTCAGGCGGGGGACCCAGCCCCGGACCGGGTCTGGGTCCCGCCGGGTCACGTGCTCCGCGCGTCTCCATGACAACCCCAATCAAAGGTCTGCGCATGACTCTCAGTGGTGACACTTCTCCCCTAATAAAACACTCTGAAAGTGGATCAACACATTCAATCCTTTTGGTGCATTAAAAAAAGTTAGTTAGTGATTATTATTATTATTATTAGCATTATTATTATTAGCATTATCAGTAGTATTAGTATTAGTAGTAGTATTGTTATTATTATATGACTCTGTCTGACACTTCTCTCCTAAAACACTCTGACATTGGATCAACACATTCAATCCTTTTAGTGCATTAAAAAAAGTTAGTTGTTGATTATTATTAGTAGAATTATCATTATTATTATTAGCATTATTATTAGTAGTGGTAGTAGCAGTATTATTGTTATTATCGTTGTTATTATTGTCATTATTTTGTAGTATTAGTAGTATTAGTAGTAGTATCATTAGTAGTAGTAGTAGTGGTAGTATTATCATTATTATTGTTAGCATTATTACTATTATTATTTGTAGTATTGTTATTATCATATGACTCTGTCTGACACTTCTCTCCTAATAAAACACTCTGAAACTGGATCAACACATGCAATGCCTTTTGGTGCATTAAAAAATGCACCAAAAGGTTAGTTGCTGATAATTATTAGTAGAAGTATTATTATTATTATTATTATTAGAATTATTATTAGTAGTGGTAGTAGCAGTAGTATTGTTATTATTGTTGTTATTATTGTTATTATTTTTTTGTAGTAGTAGTAGTATTAGTAGTATAATTGTTATTATTATTATTATTAGTATTGGTAGTATTATCATTATTATTTTTATTTTTAGCATTATTACTATTATTAGTAGTAGTATTGTTATAATATGACTATTTGACACTTCTCTCCCAAAACACTCTGAAACTTGATCAACACATTCAATCCTTTTGGTGCATTAATAAAAAAAGTTTGTTCTTGTTTTATTTTTTAATCTGTACAGACTAAATCTTTGTTGGTGCTTTACTGTTATTGATTTTGGGCTGTGGTTTTCTTTATGGTGGGCAAAAAACTTTATAAGAATGATAATTATTATTAGTAGTAGTAGACATATTATTATCATTAGTAGTAGTAGCAGTATTATCATTATTATCAGCATTATTATTATGTTTAGTAGCAGTAGCAGTATCATTATTATTAGTATTATTAGCATTAACTTCAGTAGTAGCAGTAGTGTTGCTGTAATTATTATTATCACTATTATTTTTATTATCCTGCTTTGAGCCTTTTAAGTAACTTGCCTAAGAGCAAAAATCCTAAACCTCATTGACAGTCCTGTTTTCTGCCCAGCAGATGACCCCAATCAAAGATCTGCACATGACTCTCAGTGGTGACACTTCTCTCCTAATAAAACACTCTGAAACCGGATCAACACATTCAATCCTTTTGGTGCATTAAAAAAAAGTTAGTTAGTGATTATTATTATTAGTATTATCATTATTATTATTATTAGCATTATCAGTAGTAGTAGTATTAGTAGTAGTATCATTAGTAGTAGTAGTAGTGGTAGTATATCATCATTATTATTAGCATTATTCCTCTTATTAGTAGTTATATTGTTATTATCATATGACTCTGTCTTACACTTCTCTCCTAAAACACTCTGAAACCGGATCCACACATTCAATCCTTTTGGTGCATTAAAAAAAAGTTAGTTAGTGATTATTATTAGTAGAAGTATCATTATTATTATTATTATTATTATTATTATTATTACTATTATTATTATTATTACTATTATTATTATTATTATTAGCATTATTACTATTATTGGTAGTAGTATTGTTATTATTATATGACTCTGTCTGACACTTCTCTCCTAAAAGACTCTGAAACTGGATCAACACATGCAATCCTTTTGGTGCATTAAACAAAAGTTAGTTGGTGATTATTACTATTAGTATTTTCATTATTATTATTATTATTATTATTAGCATCATTACTA